AGGAGGTTTTACTCAGTTGTAAGCTGCTAAACAAAGACATCATAGTGTCGGGACAATGATAGACTGAGCATTTATTTGTATTTATTAATCTGCAAAGACTTTGTGCATGTCTGAAACTTAACAAATAAAGCAGTATAGCATCAGTGTTTGTTGGTCTTCTGCTGGACTGAAGACAGGCTCTACTCTTCAACACAACGCTGACACACAAAACTCACACACCAGAAACACTTTAAATCCCAACAGAACATTAAACACTATCAGATCTCAGCAGAGGAGGGTTCAACAACACAAACCGCATTACCAGCCTCACTTATTACTAACAGTCTGACTTCATTTCTGTCAGACGTCTACAGAAGGTAACAGAGGCTTAGATGTTGATGATTTATTGAAAAGAATGGTAACACTTTACAATAAGGTTCATGAACAAACAATGAACAGCTGTATTTCTATTAACTAATATTAACAAAGATTAATAAATACTGTAACTAATGTATTGCTCATTGTTAGTTCATCTTAGTTAATGCTAATGTTAACTAATGAACCTTATTGTAAAATGTTACCAAAATAATTTAATAATCAAGTCACCATTATGGAGATCAGTATCTGCTGTAGTTGGGCTCTTGACTCTTGGCTTTATAACATCAGTTTTTCTCTGGCGGCTGTGAGTGTGTTTTAAGACACTGTCGTTACGGCTAAAAGAGCCAAGAGAAATGCTGGGTATGATCTGATGCGTGTTTTATTGATGTTGTCATAATCATTATTGAATATCCTAGATCACAGATTTAATCCCAAGGTGTATTACAACAGGCTGTCAGATCACAAAATTTAATTTGTGAAATTCCCTGTGAAATTAAAACAAGAGATCAAAAGTTGTGGTAATCAGATATTTATTTTTAACACATTGTGCACAAAATATTTTGAACCACTGCCATACTTAGTCACACACAGGCATCAAGAATCATGAATCTCAACAATGGTGACTTGCTTCATGCTGCAATGCATGCTGGGAACTATGGATGACCTAATTTATAGGCAAGAAAAGTAGTTTGTTTAGGCTGGGTTGTATGAATTACAAACCTGTGCACATATTTTAAAAAGCACATAACTATAGAATTCTGAATGAGCATGTGAACGCCGTCAGCGTTAATCACAGGTTCGCGTTTAAAGTCTGATCATTTCGACGGAGGTGAATCAATCAAAGTTAACTTTAGCTGGAAGTAACATTATTCAAGAACCGCTATAACGCCAAAACAATCTGTTACCCTAAATTATATGTTTATCTCTGTAAAGCTGCTTTGAAACAATTCATTGTTAAAAGCGCTATATAAATGAAGATGACTTGACTTGACTTGACATGAGTTTTATACTATGGATCTCCCAGAATGCATTGCAGCATGAAGCATGTCACCGTTATTGAGATTCATGATTCTTGATGTCTGTGTGTCCCCGTTTTTTCCCCTCCATTCTGTCTCCCGATGGAGTTTGGGTTCTTGACACTGTCGCCTCTGGCTTGGGAACACTCAATATTCAACAATATTACTGATTTAACCACACTGACACTATCAGATGAGAACAAAAGCACAACAAAAGGTAATTGACAGATAACAGACCGATTACTCTTCTTCCATTCATTGCAAAGACACTTGAGCGAGTTATGTTTAACAAACTCTCCATGTTTCTCGCATAGAACAACCTCCTGGACAACAACCGGTACGGCCACTCGACTGATGATTTTGATTTTGTCTTCAGCAGAGCTGCTTATAGCTGAATTGAACTTATTGCATAATGAATTTAACTTTACACAGTTGTTGAACTGAACTGAATTCTTACTGAACTGACGTGAGCTGAATAATGACGCTATTGTCTTGCTAGAGCTGCAGAATTCAAGCTTGTTTAATACTTGATGAAGTTTGCATGATTGAATCTGTTACGTTCCAGTTTATTATTGTGATGCTGCTTTTAAACAATTTGTATTGTATTATGTGCTATAAAAATAAGAACTTGACTCTCTCATCAATGACAATATTTATACCCATGTACACACTCACACACTCTGTCTGGTCAGGTCAACGCACTCCCTCAGACGTCCGCTGAGACATTACAGTGTTACATGATCCTCTGGTCCAGTGTTTACTCATGTTCAGCTCCATGGGCTCTACTTCTCCATCTGCTCCATTGATCTGCTCATCTTCATGGTTTGTGCAGCAAAACAAAGACTGTATTCACCCAAGTTAAGTGTTTCCTCATGTGCTTGTGTACCTCACCACTTCTTTCCTGCATTGCAAGTTTACTTCATCAAGAAATCAAGACGTTTCATTCATCCTCTCCATCTCTGAATTCATGACACCGTTATGATCATATGATAATAATAAGATGTTTTGTTTTAAAGTAAATGTAAAGTCATTAATGGTTGGAACATTTATATATATTCCTATTTTTGCACCTTAATAATAATTTGTAAGTGTATAAGTTGTTGATTTCACATGAAATGCTTCCTTCATTCATTGTTGGTTTAAGAAGCTTTAAGCCTCACTTTTGTTTCATAATTCCCATGGGCCATGCACCCATCCACTCATTCTCCAAACCGCTTGTCCTATAGGGTCGCAGGGATGCTGTTTGGAATTAAACATTAAAGGCATCCAAGTTGTTGTTTAATAAAAGTGGATGTGCAAAATATGCAAATAAAGCAGTATGTTAATATGAACAAACTAAATATTACAACATTGCTGTCTTTCCAATAATGGAAGGCGGCGTTTCTCATCTCCGGGCCTCGGGACCCCCTCACAGACAGTCTCACTTATTAAAACACCTGATTCAGCTCATCAGCTTCTTAGTGTGTTGAATATTGAGACATCTGAATCATTCTGGGAGGCAGCGGGTCTCCGAGGACAGGAGATGAGAAACACTGCTGTTCCGTTAACCCCCAAACTGTCTGAGTATAAAACGAGAATAGAACAGGAATTTTATTGGACTAAAATAACCCAAACCATAAGAAGAGAGTTTGAGAAGCCCTGCCGCCTCTGTCTGTGATGTGTGTGTTGAGCTGGATCTGGAGGACTGATGCTGCCCTCTGTTGGGTTCTGTAGACACACACACACACACACACACGGGCTGTGTATAGACACACACCATTTTTTGAAACCACAAACACACACTAATATTGATAAAAATGAGAGCATTTATAGCTTCATTCTGAGAATCTCACATGTTGTATACTATTCCATCTCTACAATAATAATGTAAGTAATAATAAACTTGAGCGAAACCCCAAGACTTGAAATATGTGTCAAATATATAATATGTGCAGCATTGAGAGGCTCCAGGAACAGTGTTGGGAACCACTGATTAATTAAGAGGAATCATAAGATGAATTTAACGATCTATATCTCAGCGTCTGAACCATAAACAAGCCAGCGTTGTGACTCTTAAAACTTCTTTTTTTAAACTTGAAGAAATTATAATGTTTGTGTAGGATCACTATTAATATGACTCAAAGCTTGAACAATACAAATATGTATTTTGAATCATCGTGGCGATGTTGTACAAACACTGCTGATATTAAAGAAGGAAACACCATTTATACTTGCATTGGACACATTTTATTATTCATCTCTCTGAAACATAAATGGGGTGGGAACACAAATGTGTTTTAATGACACCATTAAAACAAAGCATTATAATTCTGAATCATTTTCTGTTTGAATATACTGGTGCTCATACATTTATTACTCCTCTTAATGCACAGACATTTGTTTCTTACAACAATACGAAGGTCTAAACCAGTGGTTCTCAACCTCTCCTGCAGGGACCCCCTGACAGGCCATGTTTTTGTTTTAACTCTGAAATGGCACACCTGATTCAAGTAATTAAAGGCTTAATGAGTAATTAGAGTAGGAATAGTTCAATTAATCAATTAGTCAACTACTCATTAAGCCTTTAATGACTTGAATCAGGTGTGCCATTTCAGGGTTAAAACAGAAACATGGCCTGTCAGGGGGTCCCTGCAGGAGAGGTTGAGAACCACTGGTCTAAACACAGATTCTCATTGATTTGAGGCTCCGCATACTGTCCTGTTCAACACATTAAACTCACAGACAGAGTGTTTATGCTTCGTATCATGGAAAGCAGCAGGGGAACATTGAACACTGTCTGTTCACTACAATACTTCAGTCTTTCAAAAACAAATGAGCAGCTTTGGATAGTTAAATCTTTATTATGACATGATAAAACGTTATTTACTAAGTGCTCTAAAGCTTGTCGGCTCTTTCACAGTGACAGCAGGTACAATGAATTAGTGCAACAAAAACCATCACAATCAATCATCAATGAGATGAACAGCCTGATCTCAATTTACACCTTCATCAAGATCAGCGTTTGACTCGAAGGCTCAAACGGGTCGAGCAGCTTCACATTATGATGGTTCTGCTGATGGCAGCTTCGCATGGTAAGGCTCACGAAACTACAGCCTATGAATACAGATATAGACGAGATCTAAGATCAGAGTATTTGTTGTGCTGTAAGGCTGACAAATCCTGCGATTACTACCATGAATTATGAGATTTCAAATGTTCAGAACCTGTGAAGACACATTTTACACAACGAATCAACAGCTCATCTAACAGCCTAGCCTAACTTTGTATTAACATCACCTAAATATTTCTAAAAAGGCCCTGGATGAGCCCAGGAGCACTGCAGTGATGAAACATGTAAACTCTGACAGTGGTCGATTACAGTGCACGTTTTTAAGGCTATTTTGACAAAAGCGTCAGAGGTGTTTATGAAGTGCTTATAAACGGTTTAGAAAGAGCTTCTCTTCTAGAGATTTGTACTTGGCAGTTAACGACAGCACAGATATGAGGAAAATAGGGTTTTGGGGAGGATATAAAAGAGGGCTACCCTGTGTCCCAAAGAGCTCAACATCCATTCAGGCTGTAATAAAGCACTGCACACGACTTTCTGAAACAACATCGTATATGTGGATGGCAGTGAGCACAGTGTTTGTGTGTGTGTGTGTTCATCATCTTCACAAGCTTGTGGTGCAGCTGCTCAAATGCAGAATATCTGTATTCTTGATGAATTTCTTCTACACAGTGTATCATGTGTTTGTGAATGACTTTAGGCTGTTCAGCAGAAAGGTTATTTGCCTTCATCATCATCATGTGTGTATGTGTGTGTGTGTGTGTCTTCTAAGCCAGTGTGTTATCAAACTGTCCCTTCTCGAGGCCGTCCAGCCCGTCGGCCCACGTGGAGGTGGGCATGCTGCGGTACGGGTCCAGCAGGATTCGGAAGCAGCGCACGATCAGCATGCAGAGGAAGACGAAGAGGAGGATGACGAAGGCGAAGGTGGTCTTCTGCTCCAGGGTCACGCCGGCCACAGGACCCGCCGACTGCAGGGAGGAGGTGAACGGCTCGGCCTCCATCAGCCAGGAGATCTGCAGCGGCTCGTCCCACAGCAGACGCTCACACATCCTCACACGCCCCGCATCCTTCACACGGACCTCATCTACACACACACACACACTCAATCAGCACATCTATGAGGTATGCTTCTTTTACCTTTAAACTTTCTTAAACGGTAGATTAAACAATATAGCCTCAAGTAACTATCAAGCCCAAGCAGATTCGACCCAAAGTGGATACATCACAGTCTTGAGTCATTTGTGTCAGTTAGTTGATTTGAGTAAAAATGTGTCTGATGGTAAGCAGAGACAATGTTTTTACACATCTAAGAACTGGAAAACTTAGCAAGCATCTAAATCTGTCTTTATTGCTTTTGTTCACATTCACCCTGAACCCGAGAGATGTGATGTGTGCAAGCACACAGCAGGTGTCCTGCAACACTTTCTCCTTCGATTCAGCTATAAAAGGCCAATCGTCCATTCAAAATCCGCAGACCTGACATTCTCGGGGGAGCTAAGCCCGCCTCCACACAGGCAAAACGTGAGAGCCCAAAAGGAAGAAGTGTGAATTCATAACATGTGCCTTGATAGGTGAAACGAAGAAACTTCCTGTGTGGTGGATAAATGCTTGGAAGGAAAGAGATTTCCTCTTTCAGAATGTGAGCTGCACTCTCCTCCGTGTGTGAAGAGAGAACGCCGTTGAAATGCGGGGGTTTAATTACAAACTGCAGTCTACAGCCCTGCATTATTGTACGTGTCACCCACTCGGGAGTCGAAACAGTTTGCCAAACTGACTCGTAACTAGCGAGTGTCCCCACCCGAGCCGTACGTGTACGCCCAGGCCGACCTTGAATCTGCCTTTTCTGTCAAAGATATAGAAAAGGCAGTATCCTCACAACTATGTCCCTCTTTAGAAAGAAATAATATCTGCAAGGATTTCCAGTCAGGATTTAGACCGTACCATAGTACTGAGACAGCTCTCATTAGAGTCACAAATGATTTGCTCTTATCATTTGATCGCGGTTGTATCTCTCTATTAGTGTTACTCGATCTTAGTGCTGCATTTGATACGTAAGCAATAAGGTACGAGAGGCTGTGCTGTATCGTGAATAAGTAACGGCTGGAGGGCGTTGTTAGGCACGACGCGAAGCGGAGTGCCTGCAACCCCTTCAGCCGTTACTTATTCACGATACAGCACTTGCCTCGAGTACCTTATTGCTTTTATAAAACGGTTGCCACACAATAAAAATATTAAAGCCGAAAAATATGTATCTATGCAACTTTCATGAAGTAAAATCACTAAAAGCCTGCCTTCCGCTGGAAAAAATAGTCCCGGAACGTGAACAGCAACAGAAGTTACATATATTATTTCGCCAATAGATGGCGGCAAAGACTGTCTTTATGATTGAGTGAGTGAGTGAGTCTGTAGAGAAGGCTTTTGAAAGGACTCGAACTTGTGATCACGGAGAAGACAGACGCAACTGACAGATGACTAACGTTATGCACGGAAAACCCCATGACTGTTAAAAGGACAAAATATGCAGCGGACATTCAAACGCATTTTTTTATTATGAATATAGGACTGACCTGAAGGAAAATGCTACGTCTACTGTAAATGCAGGTACACTCGCTTACTCGATCTCTCACAATGCTCTGCTCTAGCTTTAAATGAACAATATCAATGAGATGAAACATCTGTTTAAGTTGCTAAGAGTGGTTGCTAGGGGTGTTGTGTAGTGATACATAGAACCGTTGGGTGAAGCGGTCATAGCCGTGTTTTATCGTGAATAAAGCACAGCTATTGACCAATCAGAATCAAGGATTGGAACTAACCGTTTTATAATATTGACCACAACATTCTTTTAAATAGACTCGAAAATTATGTTGGCATTAGTGGAATTGCATTAGCATGGTTTAAAAATTATACACAAAGAGATGTCATATCGATCACAAGTTCAGTATGGCGTACCACAAGGCTCAGTACTAGGACCGCTGCTGTTCACTCTGTACATGCTACCATTAGGGAACATGGCATTAGCTTTCACTGTTATGCTGATGATACTCAGCTGTATATTTCTTCACGCCCTAACGAAACTTACCAATTCACAAAATTAACGGAATGCACAGCAGATATAAAAACTGGATGACTAGTAATTTCCTACTACTTAATTCTGAAAAAACAGATATTCGAATTATTGGCCAAAAAACTTCCACACATAAAAACCTAGAATACTGTCTAACACTTGATGGCTGCTCTGTCAAGTCTTCGTCGTCGGTTAGGAACCTGTGTGTGCTCTTTGATACCAATCTTTAATTTGAAAATCACGTTTCTAGCATCTGTAAAACCGCATTTTTCCATCTTAAAAATATATCTAAAATGCTCTCAATGACAAATGTGGAACAATTAGTTCATGCGTTCATGACCTCAAGGCTAGATTATTGTAATGCTCTACTGGGTGGTTGCCCTGCACACTTCAACTACAGCTGGTCCAAAACGCAGCAGCTCGAGTTCTACCAGAACCAGGAAATATGACCATATTAGCCCGGTTCTGTCGACACTGCATTGGCTCCATACTAAACATTGTATAAATGTTAAAATATTTTTAACATTTTAACATCAGTTAAAAGATTACTAACAAAGCACTAAATGGTTTAGCTCCGCAGTACTTGAGCGAGCTCTTAACGCATTATAGTCCTTCACGTCTATTGCGATCTCGAAATTCCGGCCAGTTGATAATACCTAGAATCGACTGCTGTCGGTAGATCCTTTTCCTATTTAGCACCAAAACTTTGGAACAGTCTTCCTACTATTGTCTGGGAAGCAGACACACTCTGTCAGTTCAAAGCTAGACTAAAAACACATCTCTTTGACCTAGCATACACATAACACACTATAGACTTCTATAATTCAATGTTAGGCTGCATAGATTAGGTCAGCCGGAACTGGGAACACTTCCCATAAATCCTGATGTACTCGTTACATCATAAGAAGAATGGCGTCTACGCTAATATTAGTCTCTTTGTTTATCTCAAGGTTTACTGCAGTCCGCTGTATCCAGATCTGATGAAGGACACGACGACAACGCAGTCCTGAAGTGTCACTAGTCTCTCCCTGTGAAGGCCTCCTTCCCTTCTCCTCTGTACAGATACAACGTAGTCAAAATGATTCCAGTTCACGTGGATACGCGTAAGCGGAAAAAAAAATCTGTATTATGAATTTTTAAGGCCAGACAAGTAATTTGGTATGGTCAATATGTAAAGAAAGACTACACGCCTGCGCACATATACATTTTCACCGCTTGCACCTTGAAACCTATTTCAAGGTTTGCGTTCTCAAGCCCCAGCCACTGTTGTTGTGCAAATGAACGGCCGGAGCGCATTAAGGGTTTTCTGTTAGAACAGTGTCGTGTTAGCGGCCCCTAAGTTAATAACTAATGATATTTGCAATGGAAGTGAATCAATCAAAACTAACTTTGGCTGGACAATAACTTTATGCTAGAGCTGCTGTAAAGCCTAAACAATCTCTTTTACTTTAATTTCCTATTATCACTGTAAAGCTGCTTTGAAACAATCTATATTGTTAAAAGCGCTATATAAATGAAGGTGATTTGACTTGACTAAAGTGCGCAGCATTAAATCTGGGACAGCCCAAAATTATACAATGTGTACCGGGCATTTTTGATCTTTGATCTTTTATTATTACAAATCTAATCTGTCAGGATCAAATGTGCAGAGGTTTTGCCTTTTTTAATAGTTGTCGCTTCTGAAATTCTTATCATTAAATAGTTAACACGCTTATTTGGAGGCAGCTCACAGCAAAAGAACTACCCACCTCTATACACAAATACTACAGGCTTGTTGTCATTAAAATGCCTCCCTTTTGAAGAGAATTTCAGCTCAGACCACCGTTCTCACCCTCATTTTTTCCCCTTTATCCTGATATCTGCTATCCCCCACCTTCTAGGATCGGGAAAGGAGTTCAACCTGTCAGTCATATGGTAAATATCCTATTTTACTTTAAATAGCGCAGGTCAGGGCATGGATTGGTGTTGTCTGTAGTCAAATGTAATCTAGTCAAACAAAATCTCTCATTTCTGACCTCTGGAACACAAAAATCCAGTTGCTGATTTCTAATAAATGTTCACAAAATGAATAGTCTACATTAATATAACATTTAGTACAAGAGAAATATAAAAATATGTCATACTTAATGGATATTAATTTAATGGATTAAAGTTTCATTGAAAGGGGCAAATGAATGCAGATCTTATACTGCGGTGAGAGAGAGAGAGAGAGAGAGAGAGAGAGTGAGAGAGAGAGAGAGAGAGAGAGAGAGAGAGAGAGAGAGGTGTAATTCACTTCAGTACAGAGTAACACAGAAGTCACTGTCTCAGAACAGCAGAGAACATGTTCATCTGTACAGACTGATATGTTTGTGTAGAGATATTTACTTCAACTGCAGTTTACATGAAAACAAGTTTACAAGATAATCTGAAAGTGATCGATATAATGTAATCAACAGAAGAACACACACACACAAACATTATTGTGAAAGCGTGAAGATTCATAATGATGATGTTCAGACTCAAATGTTAAAGGAAATAAGATGACCTGATCAAATATCCATTAATCTGAATTCTTTTCATATTTTCACATTTTACATATGTAGGTGGAGTCCATTTTTCACCTAGGTTTCATTGCAAGGGCATACCAGGTGAAAAGAGCATAATGCGAGAGAGAGAGACATGAAGTTGAATGTGTGTGTGAGCCGACACCCTTTTTACTGCAGTCATATGGTGTGAACATGAACTACTGTGGTTTTATACAGCACACACAGTGTCATCTCCACCGACAGCGGGTTTATAAGGAAATATGAGCTTTATTGATCTGCAAGAATCACTGACTTAGCGCCGGATGTCAATGCGGTATCTGTCATGATGATCGATCAACAAGTGAAATGTCGAGAGTCGACACAAAAAACAATCGAATGACATGAAGAAGAAGAAAAAAGATAGTCATATATTGAATAAATGTGCAATGACAGCTATGTGAATGACGTTTGATAGTTTGACTCGCACCTTTGTCTCCCAGTGAGAATGTGGGATCCATTTCCACAGTTAGTCAAATCCAGCGGAATTCGCCCATTCTAGCGTCACATCCATCAGTCCACAGCCGGCGGACAGCGACCGACACCAGAGGGTTCGCCTTTGTTAGTTTAAAATAATGAGAGAGATAATACTGTTTCCACTTTATTGCAGAAGCGTGAACGCAACGCTACTGCGCATACGGTCGCGTCGCGCGCCTCGGCTCTGTGTGCGCGCGTGAGTGAAAGTTGACGTATATGTTGATCCGAATTGATTCATTTCATTGAATCGTTTGGATTGAATCGGACTGAACCGAACTCTTAAATCTCTTATTTAGGGTAGCAGATAAGTCACCAAATGACCAAACCAACTATTTGCTTAATTTATTAGGCTACATCAGCACCTCTCTATTTATTTTTCAGTTCAAAAGAATCGATTTGTTAAAATGAAATGAAGTAGGCAGGCTATTCCCAGACTGAATTTGAAGCGTAGCTAAAATCCCATAAAAATAATTTGCAACAACATCCCTGCCCAGTGGGAGAGACTTTGGAAATGTATAGTGTGTAAAGCATTACACTAAAAATTACATCAGCTGAAGTTTGAAGGCAAGTCTCATTAACTATGATTGGCTAATGGGCTCTATGCACGGCGGTATTTCCGGTGAAGGTCAAGGATGCTCGATAACTTCCGCCGATCATAGAGTCCAATGCAATACCGAGAATTTATATTGAATTGTATACTCCATGGTTATACTAAAGAAGCGTACGTTAGTCACAAAAACTGACAAAACAGACACACCTCGTTGTGTTTATGCTTCTTTTTAAAATTATATTAAATAAACATAACTATATATAAAATTACATCTAAACGTATGAAAGTTTCGTTTCAAAAACGGGAGGACAGTACATTTTGAAGACTCTGCCATAATCCCGTTTTCCTCGGTTTTCCTCCGCTTTAATCTCCCCAACCGGAAACTGACGAGCATCCTTGCGCCAAATGCGGAACTTATGCGTGCATATAGCCTATTATCTTGTCTGGACTGTTCAAGGTCAAGGTCAAAGTTTATTTATAAAGTACATTTACAAGCAGTCACTACTGCCCCAAAGTGCTATACAGGTAGAGAAATAACATGAGATAAAAACTATTTCAAAAACAGACAATACATAATAAAATGTCACATCTCAGCTAATATTAGAACGCCAGTGCAAAAAGATGAGTTTTTAACAATGAGGTAGCTGCTCTAATACTGAGAGGAAGAGACTTCCAGAGTGTAGGACCTGCTATTGAAAAAGCTCTCTGTCCCCTCAGGTTTTTCATCGAGACCTTGGACAGTCTAAAAACAACTGGCCAGTTGACTGTAGTGTTCTAACTGGAGTGTGCAAAGTAAGCATATCTGATAAGTATAACGGTGCCAATCCATTTAGAGATTTAAAAACGAGCAATAAAATTTTAAAATGGATTCTGAAAGCAACAGGCAACCAATGGAGAGACAACAATACAGAGGTGATGTGGTCACTATGCTTTTTCCCTGTCAACAAACGTGCAGCTGCATTTTGGACTAGTTATCGGCGGATTGAGCACTGATCAAGACCATAATATAAAGAATAACAATAGTCCAAACGATTTGTAATCAAGGCATGCACAACTTTTTCCAGTTGGCTATGTGGCAGGTACGGCTTGACCTTTCTAAGAAGTCTAAGTTGAAAGAAGCTTGATTTTACCACTGAGCTAATTTGTCTTTCAAGTTTAAAAGAACTATCAATTAAAACACCAAGACTTTTTACACATGGGCAGACGTTTGAGAATATTGGGCCAAGAGCACTTTTGATACCTGATATATCGGGCTCCCCAAAAATTATAACCAGTTTTTTTATTGTTTAAATTAAAAAAAAAATTAGTGACATCCAGTCTTTTACTTCATGTAAACAATTTCGCAGTGCTTCAAATGAGTTAGTATTAATATCCAAAGGTAGATAAATTTGGGCTCTTTTAAAAACTTTTAAAAGAGCAGTTTCCATACTATGACAAGATTTAAAACCAGACTGAAATTTTTCACCGATATTGTTAGAATTGAGGTGCAATTGGAGTTGGGCATATACCACTTTTTCTAAAACTTTGGACAGAAAGGGCAGCTTAGAAACTGGCCTGTAATTAGACAAAGCAGCGGGGTCCAAATTGTGCTTCTTCAAGAGAGGTTGTACAATGGCCTTTTTAAAAGCTGCCGGAACATACTCAACTGAAAGAGACATATTTATCAAGTTTAAAACAAAAGGCCCAATCGTGTCAAAAACAACTTTAAAAAGCTTGGCAGGAAGGCTGTCCAATGAGCAGACCGAATGTCTTAAACATGGAACCGTCTTTGACAAATCAGAAATAGATAACGGCATAAAATCTTCATAGACAGCTGTACATCCAGGTATAATGCTTGGATCATGCACAGCACACTGGGTTGAAGCCCGGATACTGGACACTTTATCAGTGAAGAAATTACTGTTGAAAGCTTAATTGGGATTGGTTGACGACTATTCTAAGGCAGGGGTCACTAACCCTGCTCCTGGGTATGTTACTTAAATTGGAACGTAAAGTCCACACTAGAGGTAACTAGTAAACACTAACTAGGTTGTAACTAACTTTGTACTTTATTCCGTTACACCATTTGTTCTTAAGGCAGAACGTAGCTAGTCATAAGCTCTCCGTAAAGTAATGCGCTGTCGCATAATATGACATTTACCCTCGATGATCTACTAGCCGCCTTCAAAAATGGTAAATTGTAAATGGACTGCATTTATATAGCGCTTTCACAGACCCAATGGCCACCAAAGCGCTTTAAAATTTGCCTCACATTCACCCATTCACTCACTCATTCATACACCGACGGGCGACGGCAGCCATGCAAGGCGCCATCCAGCTCGTCGGGAGCAGCTGGGGTTTGGTGTCTTGCTCATGGACACCTCGACACTTGGTCAGGTGGAACCGAGGATTGAGGATTGTAGACAACCCACATGAACCACTGAGCCACTGCCGCCCCAAAAAAACATAAGAAACTATTTATTATGACTGATTTAATTTGACTTGCACAACACGGACCAATACACACTGAGTTGCGTTGTTTAGGACAGGTTCGTGTTGATGAGCCGCTAACAAAGTAATCTACTCACATAATGTTGTCTCTCATATTAGTGAGTGTAAATGTCAGCATCATCATATGTGTCTAAAGGACTGTCGGGTAAAATAAGAGCTTACTGTGCAGTTCAGCCAGTCTGCTGTTCCAGTCCAACCGTTACTCCTGATCGGAGGATTCCCAAAATATGTAGTTTATAGTTTATACGTAGAGTTGCGCTTCATCTAAGTCTAATGGTGCAATTCAAAGATATTAAGTAGTTTGTAAGTTATAACTTAGTCAATAGGTTAAGCTGTAAGTTACCTGCAGAGTTCATGCTGTATTCACTGCATGTCGTAATTACCTTAAATAAAGCTCTGCATGCTTTGAATCGCTCTCACGGTACTCGATCGGTCTGCACAGCTCCACTTCAAGTTGAACACACCCTAAATCTGCAGTGGTTAGGTGGTACAGCAGATTCCGTACAGGAATCTTTGGGGTTTAGTCCCGCAGAGCTAGTTTTTGGGCATACGGTGCGTGGTCCCCTTAAACTGCTTAAAGAGAACTGGTTGTCTGAAACAAAGCCATCTTGCAATCTTTTGGATTATGTAAGCTCGTTGCGAGAACGTCTGCATAAAGCTCGAGATTTGGCTCGGTCAGCTTTGATAAAGACTCAAATCAAGATGAAGGAGTGTTTTGACAAGAAGGCAGTCGTTCGTTCTTTTGTGAAAGGTGACAAGGTTCTTGTTTTGTTACCACTTCCTGGCTCTTCGCTGCAAGCAAAGTTTTCAGGACCTTACATCGTGGAGCGAAAGCTCAGTGATACTGACTATATTATCTGTACCCATGATCGACAGAGGAAAACTCGTGTGTGCCACATTAACATGTTGAAGCATTATGTTGTCCGTGGTGAATCAAGGGAGTTAAAGAGCTCTCCTGTTCCAGTTGCTTCATTGTCTGTGGTACCACCTTCCTGTGGAGATGAAGACGGGTTAAATCTACGGAGTATGCCAGTGTCTGGTGCCAGATTGAATAACTCTGAAATTTTGTCCGATCTTAATTCTTACTTATGTCATTTAACAGTGAGTCAACGATCTGATATTATGAATTTGATCCAGTCGTTTCTAGGACTGTTTTCAGATGTACCTACGTAGACAAATGTTGTTCAGCATGATATTGAAGTAAATGATCATCCACCTATTAAGCAACACGCATATCGAGTTAATCCTGTGAAACGTAAAATTATCGAGTCTGAAGTGAAATATCTACTGGAAAATGATTTTGCTGTGATTTTGGAAAATGAAGTGCTTGGAGCTCGCCTTGTCTACTTGTTCCGAAACCTGATGGAACCAATCGATTCTGTACGGATTACCGTAAGGTAAATGCGATCACGAAACCTGATTCATTTCCACTACCATTAATGGAAGATTGTGTGGATAGCGTAGGATCGGCTCAGTTTGTTACAAAGCTCGATCTTTTGAAAGGGTATTGGCAAGTTCCCTTAACTGAACGTGCAGCCGAAATATCTGCTTTTGTCACGCCTGACAACTTCCTGAATTATACTGTGATGGCTTTCGGACTTCGGAACGCGCCGGCGACTTTCCAGAGACTAATGCACACCATATTAGCTGATGTTAAGAACTGTAAAGCGTATTTGGATGATATTGTGGTGTATTCGGCTAGCTGGAAAGAACATATAGCCACCTTATTCACTGTTTTCAAGCGCTTGCTAAATGCTTCCCTTACGTTGAATTTGTCCAAGTGTGAGTTTGCCAAGGCAACTATTATGTATTTGGGAAAACGGGTTGGACAGGGACAAGTACGTCCTGCAGTCCAGAAAGTACAGGCAATTGTTGGTTTTCCTGCGCCGGAAACCAAGCGTGACCTTCGCCGTTTTCTAGGAATGGCTGGTTATTATAGAGCAT